CATGAAACGCCTGGAAGAAAGCAGCCGAGCTCAGAGAGCACCAAGGACCACACTGAGCTACAAGCATTCGCTCCCGTTGATTCCTCTTAATTGCTCAGCGTTATCCCTTCTTCAAAACCTGCTCCTTTCGATTAATCCCAGAGTATTGCCTGGAATATTTAAAACGGGCCCTTTCTCTGGAGATCAGATTGAAGAAGCTCTTTTGCCAGAACAGTTCAAAAATTGTAGGTTCTCAGATCGCTTCCCTGCAAGACGAGGGCTTGGCAGTTCCCGGCATTTTTGATCCTGTTTTATATAACCAGGCATCTCAAGCCCCCTTATTTCTGCAAATGCTGGAAATAAAACTTTCCTTCCATCTCCCATCTCTCCCCCCCCACCCCCATATACACACACACACCCTAAAAAACATCTTATTCTCTCTTCGCCCTGATGTGTCTCTTGTGCATTTCTGTCTTCTACACTTCAGCAAACGTTTTGGCATTTTAATTAGAGCTTTTTCAGCTCCCTTGACAGATGTTTCAGGACTGGGGACCTGCTTTGATTTTTATCCTAGCAAAGCTTTCTCGAGAGTCTGCTGTGAAACTTCAGAAAATGCTGTTCAGAAAAAAAAAAAGGTCATTTCCCCTCCTTCCCCTCCCCCCCTTTTCCCCCTTCGCTTCTTTTCATGCATTGAAAAGACTGGCTTTATCCGTGCTTGGAAATTGTGCAGGCTTGCATCCTTTTGGATTTTCAATAGCTCTTCTGGGCTGACCACTGTCGTGCTGTGCTCATTTCTTCTTCCCTTTTTTTTTTTTCCTTTTTTTTCGGAAAGAGGATTCTTTCTTGAAGTGGTCAAGGGACCAAAAATGCAAGGATTTATCCAGGCAGTCAGCAGGGATCTAGGGTAGCACCAGCTGAAAGAAGCAAACAAACAGGAGAGGTTGTATTCACACAACTTCCTTAATCTGGTGCTGGGTTTGTAGAGATTCTCATCCTGGTTGTCCCAAAGATGCTTTTTTTGTTTTTTGTTTTTCAGGAGGCCACTGGACTTTCTTGTTTTTTTCTTTTGAAGATGTTTCGCTTCTCATGCAGGAAGCTTCTTTAGCTCTGACCAGATGGTGGGGAATGGACGGATTTATATTCCCTGCTGGTCATTTGCATCCTTTTGGAGGGTCGTTGAGGCCACTTGGAGGTTTCTCTGTCCTTGGGGTCACCTGAGTGGAATGGATTTCCAAAGGAAAAATTGCAGACTACAGGAACCGGGAGCACCGCTCAGGTGACTCTGAGGATACAGATAAACCTCCAAGGGGCCTCAACGACCCTCTAAAAGGATGCAAATGACCAGCAGGGAATATAAATCCTTCCAGTCCCCACCGTCCAGTCAGAGCTGAAGAAGCTGCTTGGATGAGAAGCAAAACGTCTTCAAAAGAAAAAAAACAAGGAAGTCCAGCTGCCTCCTGAAAAATAAAAAGCACCTTTGGGTCTGGTTCTGGGTTGTTCTGAAGTGTAAAGCATCAGATGAACCCAACAGGATGGCTTTGAATCACAGCCCCCAAAACAAATCGGAACCAAACCAAGGTGACCAGGTTGTGTGAATGTCCTGACTGAGCGCGTTTCATGAACATAGGCGTCTTCATTCATGTTGAACACCCCCCCTCTTTTTTTTTAAAGAGGCGCTTTTAAACTTTTCACGAAGATGGTGATCTAAAATAAACCCTGCAAAGGCAGCTAAAATTAGAAGCGTTCGATGGATCCCGCAATTACCTTCTGCTCTTCCAGCATCAAGGAGGACTTGTCTCTTATTGATCCATCCGGTCGGAGGTCGTGCAGGGAGGAAGGTGTAGCGATGGTGGAATTCCTGCCTAATGATAACGTCTTTTCCAGGTCACAGTTAAAGAACTAGAAATTGGATGCTGGCCCAGACGTCCTGCTGTCAGGAGGGGTAGGAATTTCCAGTTACCTTAAGGGCTGCATTTCCCTGGGTTGGTGCTTTTAAAGGCACATTGAAAAGCACCAAAGGAGAATGCAAGAAACCTAAATAAGATCCTCGACTTGCGACTTCCAGTTGAGCCCAGCATTTCTGTTGCTAAGCGAGGCATTTGTTAGGGGTGTCTTGCCCCATTTTACCGCCTTTCTTGCCACCGTTGTTAAGCGAATCATCGCAGCCTTTAAAGTTAGTCACACGGTCGTTAAGCAAATCTGGCTTCTCCGTTGACTTTCGTTCGTGGGAAGGTCGCAAAAGGGGATCACGAGATCCCCAGGGACGTTGCAACCGTCATAAATACGAACCCGTTGCCAAAGCGTCTGAATTTTGATCAGTTTTGAACATTTTGATTTCATGACCGTGGGGAGGCTGGGATGGTCATAAATGCAAGGAGTTGTCGTAAGCTTAAGTTACAGTGCCGTCGTAACTTTGGTCATTAAAGAAATAGTCATAAGTTGAGGACTACCAGTCCTCGGTTGCCAAGTATGGTTGGGTGCCCTCACAGCCCTCTTATCCAGCTCAGTTGGAAGTGGAGTTGCTGTATTTTTGCAAATGTGCTTATTCATTTTAACCTTGGTTAAGATTTGGGTTCGGTTTTTACGTTCAAGCTTGCTATGCAAAACCCATTTCTTCTGTTGAACGTGTGATTTCATGTCCTAGATGCATCAAGAAAAAGTGGTAATTTAATCGTCGGATTAAGCATGTTGTTCGAACTTAAGTAGTGATCTTAAGTTCAGCTGTTTATTACCTTCAAGAACTTTATTTCAGAATAGAATGACAGAGTTGGAAGGGGGCCTCGGAGGTCTTCTAGTCCAACCCCCTGCTCAAGCAAGAAGAGCCAATACCATTTCAGATAAATGGCTACCCAATCCCTTCTTAAAAACTTCCAGTGTTGGAGCATCCAGAACATCTGGATTCGAACCATTCCACTGTTAAATTGTCCTCCCTGTTAGGAAATTTCTCCTTAACTCCAGATTGTTTTTCTCTTTGATTAGCTGCCATCCATTGTTCCTTGTCTGGCCTTCTGCTGTTTGGAGAATCGCTTGACTCCCTCTTCTTTGTGGAAGCCCCTCAAATGTGGGAAGGCTGCTATCATGTCACCCCCAGTCCTTCTTTTCATCAACTTGGTCATCCGCCTGGCCTTGGCTAAAAATGTAGGGGAGTTTGGATCCAAAGCAAGACAAATGCGGTTGGATCTGATGTGAAATAGAATTTCCTAGTTTCACCAAACATCGAAGAATCTTCTGCCTGCAGAAGGACAGAAAGGATTATACGTTCATAAAGATTCCATCTTCTCTGCTGGGCATTTCTAGAGAAATCTCTCCAGCCAGGAGAGATTTCTTTAAAATCCTGGAAAGCTTTGGCAAGAAATTTAAATAACGAGTATTTAAATTACTGGCTCGAGTAATTGAATTTAAATTAAATCAGTAAATCTAAATTTACTGACTGAAGTCAGTAAGAAATACTGATCACTGTGCGAGCCGGTGATTCAGCTTTATGTTCCTTTTCGGGAATATATTCTCAGTCTATATTGCTTTCCATAAAAGTTGGGAAACCCTCTTAACAAATGCTGCTTTTCCTCTTCAACCTCCCCCACACACACCCTTCCAACAAATCGTAATTACATTTTAACCTGCCCAGGCTTTTTATGCATTTTGCCCATCTGAAGATGACCGCTGTCCCCAAAACTGTAATTTTGCAGTCAGCGTGGAAAAAAATTGCCTAGACATCTCTGAATATGAAATTTTTTAGGTGGCCAAGGAATTGCTACTGAAGGCTTATCCCACGCTTGGGAAAGTTAGAAGAGTCATCCAGTCTCTCCTGGGTGACAGAAGGTGTCTCATCAAAAACAGGCTATCTATCTATCAAAGAGAGATGATTTCTTTGCATCCAGTCAGGACTTGTTCTGTGGAAGAGGGCTCTAAATTTCTTACTCCAGAAGCTTGCAAATAAGAAGACGTCTCGTGTGGGACCTCTCTTCTTGCTAGTTAGAAGTCTATGGACGTTCTTAGTCATACAGGTCATGGTTGCCCCAAAGGTGGTGTTTCAAAAGGCCACTGGACTTCCTTTGTTTTTGCTTGAAGATGTTTCACTTCTCATCCAAGCAGCTTCTTCAGTTCAGGAACTGAACTTGAGTTTCTTCATGAACTGAAAAAGCTTCTTGGATGAGAAGCGAAATGTCTTCAAGCAGAAACAAAGGAAGTCCATTTACCTTTTGAAAAAGCACCTTTGGGACTTTGGTTAGAAGAAGACAGCATAAGAATACCATCAGTACCTTGCTGGATGGTCCATCTAATCCAGCAGTCTGTTCTCCCAGTGGTCAACCCAAGGACACAAGGAAGTCCACTAGCCTCCCAGCTAATGGCCTTCAGAAGTAGTCCCAAGGCCATCAAAGCTAAGGACCATGGATCTTCTACATCTTCTAGATATTCAAAAAATAACTTCTTTGAAGATAGCCAAAGAGGTACACTTCTTAGAGAGGGCTGTAAACCAGTATATAAGTCTATGGGCTATTGCTATTGCTATTTTCCTAGGTGACTTGCAATCCCAGATTCCTAGTAACCCCACCCCTAACTCTTTGCTGCCTCCCTTTCAGACGGTCAGTAACATGCCCTGCGCTCTGTTGACCGGCATCCGGACGTTACCAGTCCTAGAAGCCAAGGTGCCCGAAAGGCCTACAAGCAAATGCAGTGATCACCCCAGAGAAGAAGAGAAAGAGAAGAAGAAGAAGAAACACAAGAAACGATCCAGATCGCGGTCCCAGACGCCTCCTTCGAAATACCACTCCTCCTCTTCCTCCAAAGCCAAATCGCGATCCCATTCGAAAGCAAAGCACTCGCTTCCCACGGCCTACAGAACCGTCCGGCATTCCAGGTGAGGGTTTTTTTTTTCTTTTTCTAACTCTTGAAAACACTTAAAAACTCTTCCAAGTATCTCGCGGGTCTCGTTGCCGTGGTGGCTCTTTCTGCCTGATATTTTTAAGCCGCTCCGCGTTAAGGCGCACGACGTACGTTCTAAAAACGTTTTCAGAACAAGGAAAGCTTCTGTTTTCTTCGACGCATCTGCCAGGGGTTCAGCCCCCCCCCCCCCCCAAATAAGTGGCAGGTTGCTGACGCCAATTAAGGGTGCAGGCAGCTTCTTGTCATTTGCCAAAGGGGGGGGGAGAGAGGGGTGCAAAAATAGATGGCGTTTTATCAATGTTGCCAAAGCCACCACACATCGCCTGACACGGATTGTCAGACGGTTCTCCAGCACCTGCTTGACGCCTCTTCAGGATACGAGATTGTGCTGAAGATTAAGGCATAAGTTGGGGAGAAGTTCATTGGAACGCTAGGAAGGTCTTGTCAGCCGTTAGAAAATCCGTAATGAAGATTTTTTCAAAAGCTAAAAGTTTTGAAGAATTTTTCTTTCTTTAAAAAAAAAGAAGGCACGGTAACGTGTTGGCAGGTGTATTTTAGGAAAATGCAAATAAACTTAAACACATCATTTAAGTTGAGATCGGGATAGGAAACTTTTCTGTGACAGCTAGCATCCCCCACCCCACCCCCCCAAATAAATGTCAGATCTTGCACGTTCATGTTAAAAAAATCATATGGCCCCTTGACCCCGTGTCTCTTCAATTACTGTCCCCCCCAAAGCAGAGCCTCGGAGACATAAAGAGGTTTCCGCCTAACTGGATCTAAGGATTAAATTAGTGTTGCTGTTTTTTAAGATTGGAAGGGACATCTGACAAGCTTCATACGTGCCACTGTTAGCCTCCAAACAGAGGGAAGTTCAGTAGGAAAATCAACGCTTTTTTTTCCCCTCCAACAATCCGTCTTCAGGGAAGGTGCGATTTCACTGGGAAAGCACGCCCTTACCCTGCCAAAACTCTCTGCTTGGATCCTCGGATGGAAGAGACGGTGCAAATGATGGAGGGGCGAGACTTCTGTTCCAAGCCCTTCTCCGTCCCTGGGCTAGAGAGAGAGAGAGAGAGAGATGTTAAGACCTTGGCTAAGGGGAATTCCTACTTAGCGGCACAGAGAGGCTTTAGATGGCTTTTGACAGGATAATGCTCCTCTGAAAATGGCTTCAGGTGTACTGTGAGGGTTTGACAGCCCTTCCACGTCTCCACGGCTAATTTTTCAAGCTCCAGGCTCCATCACGATAAACCCATTTATATTATTTTGATGACTTCTTCCCCCCGTTAACCAAAGTTCCTTGACCCGAGAGCTGTCAGGTCAGAGCTGTGGGAAGGGAGAGAGGGCAGGCAGAATGTCCAGTGAGGCCGAATTTGTACACTCTTGGCTTCACTAAGTAGAGCTGGGCAGGACCCGAAGGTAGCCTGATTGGTAAGCGAGAGGGTGAAGGATCTTCCCCCAGGTGTATCTTCAGGTTTCCGAGGAGCTGAGCATTACTCTGATCGGTGAATCAGCCCCCGCAGTATATAGCCCATTCTATAAAAATTGATCTAGGCTAAGAAACCAGCGCTGTTTTGGTTACGACTACTTTTGTTGTAAAGCTATAGTAAAGAATCTTGCAAGGCTGAAAATGATAGTCCCGGTTTACACCACACGCAGGTGAGGCCGTGCTTGGAATCCTGCATCCAGTTCTGGTCGCCACGATGTAAAAAAAAAAGATGTTGAGACTGTAGAAAGAACGCAGAGAAGAGCAACCAGGAGGATTAGGGGACCAAGAGGCTCAAGAGTAATAGTAGTGGGATCTGGGTGTCAAAGAGAAGAATTGGGGGAGGGGATAATTCTCTTCCAGTACTCGAGGGGCTGTCACAAAGAATAGAGGATTGACTTATTCTCTGAAGCACCAAAGAGCAGAACAAGAAGTATCAGGTGGAAGATGATTAAAGAGAAAACCAACCTAGAAATAAGGAGACATTTTTTTGACAGTGAGAACGATTAATTAGCGGTACGACTTGCCTCCTGAATTTGTGGGCGCTCCATCATTGGAGGCTTTGAAGAAGAGACAGGACATTTGACTAAGGATGGTATAAGGCAGTGGTAGATAACCTTTTGGGGTGCCCAAAATTGTGCGTGAGCGTGCAGCGCCCAGAAGGCAATGCATGTGGACCCTACCTGCACATGGGCGTGCGATCCGCCGCCCCTTACTTATACTGCACATCTCCCAGCGGATTTTCGGCCCATTTGAGGCCCATTTTTCAACCTCCCAGAGGCTCGAGGGAAGCCTCCGCAGCCTTTGGAGGCCGAAAAATGGACCTGTTTCGTCACTGCCAGTATTTCCGGAAATACAGGAAGTGATGAAACGGGCCTGTTTTTCGGGCTGCAGAGGCTTCCCTCAAGCCTCTGGGAAGCCGAAAAAGGCCTCAAATGGGCCGAAAATCAGCTGGGAGGTGCGCACCTGCACAGTGCAGGTAAGTTTGGCTAGGGCTCATGTGCCCACACAAACGTCTCTGCTTATTGCATGTGTGCTCACCTGTGGTACACGTGCAATAGGTTGGCCATCGTAAGGTTTCCTACCTGGAGGAGTGGGTTGGACTAGACGACCTCCAAAGTCTCTTCCAGCCCTGTGATTTTTCTCCCCGGTCTATCTTAATGCGAACTAGAGAGCTTGCCTGAGATGCTTGCTCAGATTACAGTTCTGTCCCAGACTCAGATGTCTTTCCTCTGACTCCTTTTTTGGTCGCACTTTTTCCTTCTGTCCTTCAAGCCCATTCGCTGGGCTCTCTATACATTTTCTAAGGATGAACGTGTGCGTGTGTGTGTGTGTGTGTGTTTTCATGGAAATGTTTCGCTGTAAATCTGCTGGGCTGCAGCTCTGAATTAGAGGCTGATGGAGAATGGCTCAAGCCACAAAAATAATACCAATCAGGTTTTGTTCTGTACCTTTGTGTGTTAAAACAAGGGTGTCGTCCCCCCAAATCCCTGGGCCAAGACCCCACTATCAGGCTGTGGCCTGTTCAAAACCGGACCGCAGAAGGGATGGGCAAGCATGCACGTGTGAAGTTCCACTTGCACAAGTAGAGCTGTGCGTGCACCTATGTGCCTGCCACACACACATACACACTGCCAGGCCAGGCCAGACCTCCGAGCTGTAACGGTCAGGGACCCCTAGAGTAAAACCCACACATTTCTTTGCTAGAATATTAAGATTCCAATTATTGTTCCTTTTGTAGTAGAAGAAAAAGAAAAACACAGATTAACTCCTAACCCAGTTCTTTGTCCTTAATAGTTTTCTAGTCTCGCTTTTCCCATCGCCTGATAACTCATAGGAAAGCTGTTTTAGCTAATTTGTACCTTCAGGTCACCTTTTGTTCGTCCGAGTTCAGATCCTGACCTCATGAAATTTCCCACAAGGTCTCCCAAGTCCTGGGTTAAACAGTGACCCAGAGAAAAGATCAGCAGTGCAGTACTTGAGCAGCCGGGCCAAGTCGATCTTGAAGGGCTTCCGCGATGCTTTTAATGGAGGTGTTTTCTAATTTCACAGTGTAACATGCCCTGCAAGACCGGATCGGCTCCAAACCGTTCCATAGAGAGAGGCATCTGGGTTTTTATTTTCTTAGCAGAAGCATGGAGTTTGGCCTGCTTATTGCCTTCTGTGTTTTCTTTCCAACTTGCCAATCTAATCTTCAACCTCTGGCTCTGCTTCGCTTAACCTTCTCACCCTGCCGCAGTCATCCATGCATGTCACACCTAAGACCCATTATAATTGCAACTGGAGTCCAGACGAATTCTTTCTGGTTTGTGTTTTTTAATTTCCTGCAAAAGTACAGCATTGCAGATTGGAAGGGAGGAGGAAGAAATACAATTAGAATTGCTTTTCCGGGTGTACTTCCTAAGAGATTACGTGCTAAGCCACCTACTCTGTTTACCCAGCTAATGATCTGTATGTAGTAATTAGCAAGAGAAGGCATCATTAAAGGATTTAGTGTGTAAGAGGACTTGATTGGCATAAGCAAACTTCGCGTGTTCATGGCCTCCATTCAAAGAGTCAGTAATGTTAATTCTCAAAATGTTTTTTTTTTTTTAATTCCTTGATGAGAGACACAAAAACAAGACTTCAAAACCAGTTCTTTTCTGTCGGGCAGGGACTTTCGTATGCTGCTCCTTAAGAACGGGAAATCATTAGCAACCTGAATGAATATATATGTATGTATATATAGGGCTTGCGGGGCTTTTAGTTCCTCTTTGTGCAAGTAGCTTTTGGGTGGTTTACTTGTGCATAGGATGTTAGTAACTTGGTGTCTTATTCTATCAGCTTCACCAAGTTACTAAGATACCAAGACACCAAGTTAGTAACATCCTATGCACAAGCAAACCACCCAAAAGCAACTTGCACAAAGAGGAACTAAAAGCCCTGCAAGCCCTAAGGAACAACAGCAGCATAATCATACTTCCAGCAGATAAAGGGAATGCCACAGTAGTAATGGATAGTAAAGACTACGAAACAAAATTGACAGACCTACTCCAAGACTCCACATACAAACCCATAAACACAGACCCAACCACATATCTGGAAAAAATAACCAAGAAGAAAATTATAACCAGCTACATGAGCAAAGAGATCCAACAGACGATCATCCCAAGAGAAAAATCTTCCAGATGCCCCAAACTATACGGCCTCCCAAAAATACACAAAGAAGGAATACCTCTCAGACCCATAGTCAGCTCCAGAGGAGCACCACTACAAAACCTAGCCAAACACCTAGCAAAGCAGCTACAGCCCCATGCTGAAGCAGCAGCTTTACATGTACAAAACTCAAACCACCTCTTGGAAATGATCAAAGATCTACACGTGGAACAAGAAGATCTGCTTGTAAGGTTCGACGTGGTTTCACTATTCACTCAAGTCCCAATAAAAGAAACTCTTGAAATCATCAAAAATAAATACCAACAAGCTAAACATCTCATGGAACTAGCAGAACACTGCTTAACCAACACACATTTCATATACAAAGGACAAAGATACAAGCAAATTGAAGGAGCCCCTGTGGGATCACCACTGTCACCCGTCATTGCAAATCTGTTCATGGAAGAATTCGAATCCAGAGCCCTAGCTAATGCCACCCTCAAACCCAAACTATGGTTAAGATACGTCAATGACACATTTGTCATTTGGCCCAATGGAAAAGAAAACCTAAACAATTTCCTAACACACCTAAATAGCACACATCCCAAAATCAAATTCACCAAACGGAAACAAACAACTATCATTCCTGGATGTACTAATCTACAAAAAAACAGATGGCACACTAGGACACACCACATACCAGAAGAAAACACACACCAACAGCTACCTCAACGCCCAATCCCACCACCACCCAGCACAGATAAACTCTATGGCCAAAACACTAATTGCCAGAACCAAACGCCTGGCAGACAAGACACACATAAAGACTGAACTATGCACCCTGACTAAAGTACTGACAGCCAACGGCTTCCACAAAAGCAAAATCACCGGCTTGATCCACAAAAACACACTGAGACATAATGGAGACCTAGAAGATAAATAGACCTATGGAACAGCAGTCCTGCCCTACATAAGAGGTACTACAGACAAAATCAGTAAGATACTACACAGGCATCACAGCAAGACTGCCTTCAAAACAGACAGAAAAATAGCAGCCATCCTTAGAAACCCTAAAGATAAAATTGACCTGGAAAACTAAGGCTTATATGAAGTCCCCTGTGCATCATGACCTGCCACATACATTGGACAGACCAATAGAAGAATAAGTACCCGCCTAGATGAACACAAAAATGCAGTAACAAAGCTGGAACACACTTCCTCACTAGTCCAACACATGAAAGCCACAGGTCATAGCATCGACTTCAATGGCACCGAAACCCTAGCCACTATAGAAAACCCCAGCCACAGAATTATCAGAGAAGCCATAGAGATTGAAAAAAGACCTGAAAGCATGAATAGAAGAGATGATTCTACCAGACTGTCAATTATTTGGAAGCCTGCACTCACAAACAAAAAAATCTCCACGCCACTAGCCAGGCAAACACCTGGGCACAAACAGATCCCCCCCCCACCCCGATACCTCCAGCTCAAACACACCCCACCCAGATGAAACCTAGCTTCCTAATAAATGATAGCCGTCTGTTTACTTGCAGCCAAGCCGCACTAAAAGCCTCCAATACAGGAAACACAATGTTGCCAGCCAATCAAGACAAAAAAAAACCCACAAAACAAACAGAAGATATTAGAAACACCAATCAAGCAGAACACAGCAAACTCCAAGACCAATAAACACAGACCAGGACTCCCAACCAATCATGAGGAAGACAAAACCATTCTGGCACAGCAGTAGGCTAGCACTAAATTTGAAACAGAAACGGCTGTGAAAGTCTGACTCACAGACAAACACAATACAGAAGCCTGATGATGGCAGATGAGATTCTGCCGAAACGTTGCTACAACTTTAAAAGCACAACTATAATGACGTGGGAAAATACCCCAACAAAGCTGAATACCATATATGTATGTATGTATGTGTATATATGGATATGTATGGATATGGATATGTATGTGTATGTGTATGTATGTATGTGTATATGCATGTATATGTATGTATTTGTTTTCTTAAGTTTTCGCGGGTACTTACATGTATGGTATTCAGCTTTGTTCATCAGACGAACACAATACAGAAGCCTGATGATGGCAGATGAGATTCCTACCAGCATCCATCTGTATTCGCCTGGCTAGGGTCCTGTCAGAGTGTGAGAGAGAGTTGAGAGTTGTTTGGAACCTGAAAGAGTATTTGCTGTGTGAGCAAGGAGCCTGGGCGTGCCTTAGCTCAACTGTTCTGGACTAAAGCTGCTTGGTGCTCTGAAACTCCTCTCTGCTTGTGTTTTGCATTTGAAAGAGATTTTTCAGAAAGAAATCTGAGGGGAGGGGGAGTAGAACTCCTTAGCATCAGAGCATGTTAATAATAATATAGAAAATATTAATGCTTTCATGGGCATTTAAAGAAAAAAAAGTTCTTAGTGAGCACCTAAAAGCCAAGAGGAACATAGGGGCCAAATTTCAAGTTTGTAGGCTTTACGGTTCTGAAGATTTTGTGATGATGAGTGAGTGATATTTCACTTTATCTGTCTGTCTATCTGTCTATCTATCTATCTATCTATCTATCTATCTATCTATCTATCTATCTATCTATCTATCTATCTATCTATCTATCTATAAATAAATATAAGCTCCCTGTGAATGGCAGTAACCGTTCCCCATTTAGCACAGTTATTTTTTAAAATAGTCAAATCTGCATCTGGAAAAATGATATGACATTTACAAGTATTCAAAGCTAATGCCATTTAGTGGAGGGGTTTTCTTTAGGAATTTTAGTCATTTCTATGCAAATCTTAGAAGCCACCGCTAAGGGTCTCTGATATTAAGCAGCTTCAAAAAAAAAATCACTCACTTTCCTTTCCCTCTGACAAGTTCTAAGCACTTATCGGTGGAAAGGCTGGGCTGAGGCCAACAAGCAAACTGTGTGTGTGTGTGTGTGTGTGTGTGTGTTGTAAGCTCCCTGGGACAGGTTCCTTTCCTAAAGGAAGGCCTTGCTGCTGCACAAAATAAAATGGACCCTCTTGGCTAACATCGGTTCTGATATGATTTGTTTTGCATCTGGAGAGCACTTAATAATCTGTGTCCTGCCTTTTTAAGCACTTAAAGACAGAATTATTTTGTTTGGGATTTTAAAAACAGTAATTCGGGGGTGGGGGGAAAGTGAGTGGATAAAGCATCTTCGGGGAACTGACAACCACTTCCCCGTGCTGCATGTCTGACGGCCTTTCTTTCTTTCTTTCTTTCTTTCTTTCTTTCTTTCTTTCTTTCTTTCTTTCATTCTTTTTTCTTTTCTTTCTTTTTGTGTCTTTTTGTCTTTCATTCTCTTTCTTTTTATTCCCTTCCTTCCTTTCTCTCTTTCTACTTCCTTCTGTCTTTCTATTTCTTTTTTCTTTCATTTCTTTGTTTGTCTTTCTGTCTTTCTTTCATTCTCTTTCTTTTTATTCCATTCTTTTCTTCCTTTCTCTCTCTCTTTCTACTTCCTTCTGTCTTTCTTTCTATTTCTTTCCTTCTTTCCATCTTTTTTTTCTTTCATTTTTTCCCCTTCCTCTTTCTTTCTTTCTTTCTTTCTTTCTTTCTTTCTTTCTTTCTTTCTTTCTTTCTTTCTTTCTTTCTTTCTTTCTTTCTTTCTTTCTTTCTTTCTTTCTTTCTAACAGTACTCAGGTTGTAACAAACCCACATTTTTTCCCTTTTATATGGATTTGCCAGAATTTGTACTCCTCTTTGATAATCCTGTGGCATGCCCCTATCAAGAAACGTAAAGACCCTCAAAATCCTTCCAGGGTGAATTTAATTTTCCCCTGTCGCCCATTCAGGTCCCGCTCAAGATCACCGAGAAGACGGGCACACACTCCCGAAAGGCATCGGGAAGAAAGGAGTGTCCCGACTGCCTATCGTGTGAGCAACAGCCCAGGCATCAGCAGACGACGCACCCGTTCCAGGTACACAATTGTGTTTGCAGCACACCTGTGTTACTCCAGAATGAGAACACTGAGGCTTTCTTGATTACATGGCTTTGTCCGGCTCCTTACATCAAGTTTCTCCGTTTTCTTTTAAAACATAAGTTAGTCCTCATTTAACGACCACAGTTGGGGCCGGCAGCACGGCTATTAAGTGAACCGGTCACAAAGTGAAACCGCACCGTATTATCTCCTGCATTCTTTTGGTTTACAGACCTGTGATAAATGCAAGGGTCAGCTGCAAAGTTACTTTTGCATCGCTTGTCACCACTGCAAATGGTTGTTAAAGGAGGCATTCAATAAACAAGGACGTGTTTTTTAACAAAGGAGGCCAGACATTCTTCAGGATGCTTTCTCCATCCATTTTACTAAAGAGGCTAGAAAAAAAAAACCCTGTTATCTTCCTTCGGTAGGTTTTATGGTCGATTCGCTGACCCCTTTTCATTTACAGATGAGCAATGAAATTAGGTTGCGGCATTGAGACCCCGATTCGAAAGGGCATAAACCTGAGAGATTCATTATTATTATTATTATTATTATTATTATTATTATTATTATTATTAT